TGGCTTCATGTTTTTTAAATGTTCAGTTTTGAAGAAAAATTACAAGATATACAAATAAACAAGAAAATATGACTTATACAGAAGAAAAAAAAACCATCCCAGGTAAACAGAAACTGTCCCTGAGGAAGCCCACACACTGAACTTAACTGAACATAGATATTAACTCAGCTTTATAAATACGTTCAAGGAACTAGAAGAAATCATATCTAAAGAATTAAAGGAAATTATGAGATTGATGTCTCACCAAATAAAGAATAGTAATAAAGAGATAAAAATGATAAAAAGAACCAAATAGAAATTTCTGCAATGGAAAAGTACAATAACTACAATTTTAAAAAGTCACTAGAAGAACTCAACAGCATATTTGAACTGGTAGAAGAAAGTATTGGTGAACTTGAAGATAGGTCATTTGAATGCATTTAACAAAACAAATGCAAGACTTGTATACGGAAAACTATAACAACACACTCAGGATAGTCAAAATGATCTTGAAAAACAAAACTCAGCAAAGTTTGAGGACTCACACTTCCCAATTTTTAAACTTACTGTGTAGCTACAGTAATCAAGATAGTGTGGTACTGACATAGGATAGACATATAAATCAATGAAATAGAATTGAGATGAAACATATCCACACATTTATTATTAGCTGGGTTTTGATAAGGGTAACAAGACAACTCAATGGGGAAATAAATGGTACTGGGTCAACTGAATATCCACATGCAAAAGAATAAAGTTGGAGCCCTACTCATACCATATACAAAATTAACTCAAGGTGAACCAAGGGCCTAAATGTAAAACTATAAAACTCTTAGGAAAAAACATAGGTATAAATCTTCATAATCTTGATTTAGGCAACGGTTTATTAGACATGATGCCTGAGGCAAAAATAAGTAAAGAAAAAATAGATAAATTGGACTTCAAAACTAAAAACTTTTGTTCTTTGAAGGCCACTATCAAGAAAGTGAAAAGGGCTGGGCACAGTGGCTTACGCCTGTAATCCCAGCACTTTGGGAGGCCAAGGAGGGTGGATCACCTGAGGTCAGGAGTTCGAGACCAGCCTGGCGAACGTCATGAAACCTCGTCTCTACTAAAAATACAAAATTAGCCAGGTGTGGTGGCATGTGCCTGTAATCCCAGCTACTCAGGAGGCTGAGGCAGGGGAATTACTTGAACCCGGGATGCAGAGGTTACGGTGAGCCGAAATGGCACCACTGCACTCCAGCCTGGGCAACAGAGTAAGACTCCATCTCAAAAAAAAAAAAAAAAGTGACAAGATAATCTACATCATATATCTGAAAAGGGCCTAGTTTCTAGAATATATAAAGAATACAACTCAACAACAAAAAGACAAATGTCCCAATTTAAAAATGGGCAAAGATTTGAATACTTTCTCCAAAGAAATGTACAAATGGCCAATAGGCATGCAAAATTATTAGTTATTAGGAAAATGCAAATCAAAACTTGAGTGAGATACCTCTTTACAGCTAGAATTATTGCTATAAAAATGACAGATAATAATAAGAGTTGGCACAAATATGGAGAAGTTGAACCCTCATTCATTTCTGGTGGAAATATAAAATGATGTAGCCACTTTAGAAAACAGTTTGGCATTTCTTCAGAAAGCTAAACATAGACTTACTATTATATGGTCCAGGAACTCCACTCCTAGGTATATACTCAGGAGAATTAAAAATGTATGTCCACACAAAAACTTGTACATAAATGTTTATAGGAGCATTATTCATAATAGCTAAAAAGTGGAAACAATCCAAATGTCCATCAACTTACGAATGGATAAACAAAATGTGGTATGTTCTTATAATGGACTGTTGTTCAGCTGTAAAAATAAATCAAGTACCAATACATGCGACAACGTGGATGAACCTGAAATGACTGTGCTAAGTGAAAAAAGCCAGACACAAAAGACCACATATTGTATGCTTCCATTTCTATGAAATATCCAGAAAAAGCAAATCCATAGAGACACAAAGTCATTGCCAGGGACTAGGGATGGTGCGGGAAATGGGAAATGACTATGACTGCTCATTGATTTGGGGTTTCTTTCGGGGATGACGGAAATGTTCTGGAGGTAATTAGTGGGGATGGTTTCACAACCTTGTGAATGTACTAAAAACTACCAAATTGAATTTTATGGTATGTGAATTATATCTCAACAAAATTTTTATTTACATAATATGTTATGTAGGCAAGTTGGGGTAGCAGAAATAATGTGACAGGACTTTAGTATTGGTTCCTGTTCAGAATCCTTGCTTTGGGAGAGTTTTTAAACTATCTGAGCTTTAGTCTCCACTTCTAAAATTAAGGCAATAATATCAGTCTTACATACTTTTATGTATATTAAGTGAAAGGTGTATGTAAGCTGTTTTGAGCTGGGTCTGGTGCACCCCTATAGTCTCAGCTACTTGAGAGGCTGGGGTAGGAGAATTACTTGAGCTTAGGAGTTTGAGACTAGGCTGAGCAACATATTGAGACCTCCATCTCAAAAAAGAAAACAAAACAAACCCCAAAACCATTTTAGGGAACAGGGTGGGCCTGACATATAATATAAATTTTTAACAAATGTTAATTCGTTTTCTACCTTTCTTCCTTTCTTCTTCCCTCTTTCCTAAATTTATACAGATCAGGATGGTAGAAAATAAAATATAGGAGTTCTGCTATTGATACGGGGATGATGGTCGAATCTCCTTACGAACTGGGGGACATGAGATTGGGGGATGGGAAACGACTCAGAAGGGAACACTCTGATTTATGTAGAATTGTTCCATGCATTTTCTGCAAGATGGGGCTCAGCCCAAGAGAGGGCCTGTGTGAAGACACTGGCATGTCCTCTAGGGAGGGGGGGCGTGTCTACTGGCCTATAGCCCTACGGCTATAGGGACAGCTGTTCATAAAACAAAATTGTTCTTTGAATCAAGCTGGAAAGGACTTGATTTTTCTTGAGGACAGGGGACCAAAAGAAAACAAGTTTTGAAATAAAATACACATTTTTGGGGCCTCCTTGTATATTTCTTCAGCCCCTTTTCTACAATTCTGGACTGTAGTTCCTGGAAATTCACACTTTCAAAAAGCCCCATCAGTGATTCTTGGATGGAGCTTTTGAAACATGCATGCATGTTCAAGTCACCGGAAGCATCTTGCTAGTACACAGATTCAGTGTGTCTGATACGGGGTCTGAGATTCCTCATTTCTAACAGGCTCTTGGGTGATACCAGGAAGTTGCTGATCCATGGACCACACTTTGACTAGCAAGCGTTTAGCAGCTGGTTTGAGTAAACCAGGTTAGAATTAAATGCCAGACTAATCAAAGTTGGAAAAGCTAGGTTCCATGACTGCCCTGTGCACCCCAAGCCTGCCCGTCTGCCTACAGCTTTATATGCAGAGGCTCTTCGTGCGGTAGAAAGTCTGGTGGGTGCTTCAATGCCTTGTTGGTCTCCCTGGGAAGGAGAGCTGTCAGAGAGGAGGAAGCAGTTGGCTTTCCAAGGTCAAAGTCTAATGGGAGATTCTCTGAAATTCACCAGACACGACCACTGATGGATGCAGGGATCATTTGTCTGAGGGGCCCTGGGGTTTTTGATGTGTCTCTTGGGCATGTCAGCGGTGTGACGGATGCCATATGGTGAACATAAGGAAGGGGCGCAGATGTTAGAGTCCAAGAGACCTCCATTGGAATCCTGCTCCTCACATTGTAACCTTGGACTGTACTTAACCTACCTGAGCCTCAGTTTTCTTATCCGTATTATGGAGAGACTTTGACCAACCTTGCAGGATTGTGTTAAGGTTTAAAAGAGGTAATGCATGTAACATGCATGCCACAGAGTCAACACTCTTAAGAGAAGTTTTTTACCACCGATGGCAAGTATCTGTGTTAACTCGAGGGACAAGGGTGACCAGGGAGCTGGGGGTAGCTGGAGAAGTTTTACTCTCATTTGTTGACCCACAATGGATGCTCAAGTCCACATATATTGATTTATGAGCTAATTGGGTTGTGCCTCTGGCTCTTTGGTTCAGCATTGTGGGTGTTATGCCTTTGAATAGCCCAAAGTGAGAGTCCCTGTGCTTTAGGGATAGCCCGTGGTCAGCTTTTGAAAAGATGCATACCATTATTCTCATTCCCCCAGGCCTTACAAATTATCAGAGAGAGGGAACATGCTGTTATGTATTAGATTAAGTATTTTCAAGCAGGACTGGCCCTAAGAGATAATTTTAATCTAACTCCCTTAATTATGTCTGAGAAAACTGAGCACAGAAAAATTAAACAACTTGCCCCAGGCTTAAGAACCACTTAGTGACAAAGTCAGGGCCAGATCCCAGCCTCCTCCCCACCGGCTGGGGATTCTCTCCACTGGACAGCTCTACCACCTAGGGAATACACGTGTGCTCTGCTTAGCATTTCAGATTCAGATGTATTCCAGATACAGCACATTTTAATTTTAATATGCCGTGTGTATATTTTGTTGTACATGTGGGACACGTGCCTCATCTACTTACATTTGATAGAACTTGGAGAGAAGTTTATCACAGCAATAGTTAATTGTTCTGTCTTCGCTCAAGACTTTTTGTTGATCATATTTGTGTCTTCGTTTAATCCAAAATTGCGTGTCAAGAGCACAGCTGGATCTGCGCTGTGCTTTACTTGTGTTGCCTTGTTGGCCTGCCAGGGTCAGTGGACTGGGGTTGGGTGGTTGAGCTGCTCCAGGTCACAAGGCCTTCTGGGAAAATAACCCCTGCTTTATAGTAATTATTGCCAAACTCTAGGCTGGCAATGATCTTGATCAACTGTTTACCTGTTTTCATGGCATGACAGAGATGAGGGCAAAATTATGACATTTTTAAAAAGAAAGAAACATTGATTTGGTTTAAAGGCCTGCCTTTTATTTTGACATTATAGCTTTATGATGTTTTGTTGTTCTTTCTTTTATGAAACTGTGATCATTGTAGATTATAGATGGTAGATTTTCCCTTCCTTCACCTATTTATTTTTTTTTATGTTTGCCTTGCACTAATAAAGTTTTATTTCACTCAAATTAGAGCAACAATCTTCCATACATAAGTATCTTCCCTGCCCAATAATTCAAAGAAAAAAATCCAAAATGATTAATAAAGAAAAATATAAGAATTAACAGTCCCTTTAAATTTGTTTTAAATATTTTTAAGGTTTAAAAACGGTTTAAAGTTTGTAATTCCTAGTAGGAAAACATTATCTGAATGAATGGCAAACCACGGTAAATGCTTCAGCTGCATTTGGGGGAGAGGGATATGGATTATCTTCAAAGCACCCCAGCTCTCTTGATGAGAAGATCAGAGGTACACTGGTTTGTATTATTGCGACATCCATAACGTGATCTAGGTTGCTTTTCCTTCAGCAAGGTCTTTATTTATCAGAAGGACATTACGCTTGACCTCCAAATTTGGCTGACAATTTACTGATAAGATTCATAACCTTTGGGTTGCTCTGGTATTGTGACATATTTGCTGGGTTCTGAGCCACATCCTGGAAGAGGCCACCGTAACTTCTGGATCCTGCATGGCTGCAAGAACCTCTGGATCACTAAGAATTTCACTGAGTCCAGGGATTCCGGCCATCCCAGGCATGCCCCCTCCCATTCCAAGCATTCCCCCAGGAAGTCCACCTGGAGAAGAGCCATACTGAACTCCTGACTGTCGTCTGGCTTCTTCCTCCCTCTGGGCTCTCTCATGCTCTTCTCGAGCCTTCTTAACTCTTTCTATTCTTTCTTTGATCTCTCGCTCTTCACGTTTTTGCTCATACTTTCTCCCATGTTCTGCAATGTCTGTGCCCTAGGCTGAACTTCTTCCAGCATTATACTAGCATCTTCGTCATAATCCAATTTACAGGCAAGGGCAAGATCATGTACTGCTTCTTCCCAGTGGCCTAGAGGTCTGTGTGCTTTCCCTCGCCACTTGTAAGGCTGAGCTGAATCAGAATTTATTTCAATGACTCTGTCACAGTCTCGGATGGCAGCATTTGGCTTCTGTAATTTGACGAAGACACTGGCCCTCTTGGCATGCAAAATGGCCAACTGAGGATTCAGCTTGATGGCATCTGTGAATAAGTCAATGGCTTTCTGCAGTTCACCATCATTTAGGGCTTCAATAGCAGTCACTTTCTTATCATTTGCCTGATCCATCATCTCTTCCATTATCTCTGCATTTTCATCTCCCATTTCTTGAGGGGCATCAGGGTCTGGTTCAATCACACCTTCATTATCAATTTATAGATTACTTTCCTCACGTGATGGTTCGTCTGCCTTTAAGTCTTCCTCCACCTTCTTCTTATCAGGTTTTTCTTCCTTGGTATTTTCTTCTGATTTAACTTTCTGAGTAGCAGGTGGTAGTTTACCCCCCCATGCTCTCCACCCACTCCCTCAGGAAGTACATTTCCTCAATGTGCAGAATGCTCGGATCCTGCTTACATATTTTCACAAAAGCCCGAAGTGCGTTCACTTTCCAGGGGTCCATGGTCAGGAGGCGGTGGATGAAGAAGCTAAGGTGCTGTGGCCCAGTCCCAGGCCTAGGCGCTGGCTCAGTGTGACCGCGCAGAAGGGGGCACCTATTTATTTTTTAAATATCCTTATTTAACAAAATGAAAACTTGGCACCTATCTAGGTGCCTAAAACCCAAAGTCTTGAAACCAGAGCTCTAAAAAGATTTACTTTGCAGCATAACTTCCAGAAATGCCTTGCCTCGCTGTGGCAAAAAGCAGGAATTGCTCGCATTTAAGTGGGAGTAGGGAGATTATGTCTCAAGAAAGGTGTTCAGGGACCCCTTTCTCACTGAGTGGGAGGTTGGATCTTTTAAGCTCCTCTTCCTAACATTAGAATCAGTCATCCCCCCAAAATTGGACATCGATTTCAGTCATTTTTAGGCAGAGATCAGTGTTGAGGGCACTTCGTGGTTGAGTGAGAGCAGGGGTTGGTGGGTGAGAAAGTGAAATCAGACAAGAGAAGTTGGGACTCAGAGCTTCCCAGTCCCCAAACAGAAGAGGAGCTGGGAAGTCTCTCCAGCTGCGGAAGAGGAAGGTTTGGACACTCTCTTTACATGGCCAGTGTGGCTTCTTCCTTTGAGAGGCAAGAACTCACTGCTCGAGAGGAAACCCACTGCGGGAACCCGGAAGAAAACCAAGTCCGCCCAGGTCAGTAACTGGAAACCGGGTGGCTTTTCCTCCGTGCTGCATAGCTACACTTAGAAATTTCACGGAAAGGTGTGACATTTTATCAAGACATTTGACTGCACTGCTCCTGCTGTTTAACCAGAGGATTCAGTAGAAAACAGACAAACAAACAAACAGGACGGTTTAATGAGTGAGACATGAATTGGAAGAGGCAGGATGAGCTGTGGGTTCCTGTGGTGGTCTGACAATGATGTGATGAGGACACCTTTCCAGGCGCAAAGTCAAGGCCCTGTGCTGCTCACAGGAAATTCCCTTCGGTTAAGTTCCTGAAGAGTGTATTGATTTTCCGATACCCTGCCTTATTCAGGTAGGATTTGAAGCAGCTTACAGAAAAACAAGATTTAAAATGTAAGAAGTGAAGGATATAGGGAAAAGAAAGGTAGAACAGCATGATAAGAGAAAGGTGGGGTTTGTGATTGCGGAAATGCTTGCTGGTGTCTCTGTGTTGGTTCTGTTGTTGCAGGTACTGGGAGGAAGAGATGAACCCTGCTCCTGTGGAGGCTGTGAGGTGTTGGTGTCGTGTACACATCCAAGGGATGGCCTAATTATTTACAACTAGGCTCCTGGAAATCAGCCCTGAATCCAGCTTTCTACCTTCTCTTTTCAATATCATTCAATTAATTGAGTCACAGAAGCAGCCTTTAATTCATTTAATTCCCTTACAGTCTTCTAACTTCTGCCATATATCTCGTGACCTGTGATTTTTCCTTTTGCACTGATTTGATACTATGTAATAGCAATTAAATATCGTTACTTATACCAGAGCAGCTTATCTTTCTTATCAACAAAAACAAATAAGGTCCACACTCCTGAAAACAAATAGGCTCTATGTCTAGCCTTGTGAACAAATGCAATTTTGTCACTTACATACTTTGTTATTGATACAGTAACTTCAGAATTATTTGTGGTACTGCTTCCTGAGATATGTAAAATCATGTTAATGATTTTTGAATAGTGATCAATAATAACATTTATTAAATACCCATGGTGCTTTGAATCTTTCAGTTGGTCAGTCAGCATTTATGTTCTTGATATCACTCCCAAAGCGTCATATAAACGACTTCTTCTTCTTCTTTTTTTTTTTTTTTGAGAGGGAGTCTCACTCTGTCACCCAGGCTGGAGTGCAATGGCACTGCAACCTCTGCCTCCTGGGTTCAAGGGATTCTCCTGCCTCAGCCTCCCGAGTAGCTGGGATTATAGGTGCCTGCCACCACACCCGGCTAATTTTTGTATTTTTAGTAGAGATGGGTTTTCACCGTGTTGGCCAGGCTTGTCTTGAACTCCTGACCTCAGGTGATCCGCCCACCTCAGCCTCCCAAAGTGCTGGGATTACAGGCATGAGCCACCGCGCCCAGCCCATAAAAACAACTTCTAACCTCAGGAAGCCTACACTCCAATGGGAAACCAAGGATGACCCCAGACCAATTTGTGCGACTGCTCTTCCTTATCCACAAAGCGGGGAGAATGACAGTGCCCAGCTCATAAGACTGTTGGGAGCTTTTAACGAGATAATACTTGTGGAGCACGATGGCTGGCAGAGAGAAAGCACTGGATAGCTGCTTGTTTTCCTTCTTGTTATTATGATTGGAGAAATTCTGCGGAGGTGGTGCCTAGGAGCTGGCCACACCTCCCCCAGAGGGGATTTCCAGGTTTCACAGGTTTCCTTCCCTCCCTGAGCAAGGGCAGGTGAGTCAGGGTCGCTCGTGCTCCCCTCCAGCTCTGGGATGTATGCTGTCCAGCTGGTAACGAGTCTCCGTCACATCCAAGGAAAAGTGGAGCTGGCTGAGGGGAGATGGAAAAGAAGGGCAACAAATTCCAGTTTCTTGTGAAATGTTGTAAACGTAAGGCTCTTATCTCAGTCTGCAGAGCAGAAACAGGGTGGGGGCCATGTATCTGAATGTCTCCACTCGTGCATAACAAATATGATTAGAACTGAAGACCTAGAAATCCCTTCCCCGGGCAAGGGATGAACTCTTCTGTTTCTAGAACCATTTAGGGAGGTGACAAGTTGGCTTCGTCCCAGAGTTTCAGGTGAGGACAGAACAGAGGGCAGGGTATTCTTGCCCTGAGTTCCCTGCTGATGAGCTAATTGTGGCCCCTCACCTTTGTTTAGCATGCAGTTTACCAGAAAAGGGCATCCTACCTTTATCCTTGGTTCTCCATCCCCTCGCTACCTTTCCTGTGTTTTGCAAACATGGGATGGTGTATTTAGCTTTCTTTTGCTGGAATTATTTTCACCCCATGTCCTGTGTCTTCCTTGTCCACAAGAAATCATCTAGTCTAAGGAGCTCCAGAGAAGGGCGTGCAGGGGATGGCCATGTTCTGTTGCATGCATTTAGCTGTGTTGAACAGTCCTCCTGTTTTGCTACTGTCTGAGAATATTCTCTTGATTCTATGGGCTCCTGGACCTGGGCTTTCCTTGGCTTATCTCATGAATCTGCCTCTTGGTCCCTTTCATTGGCTGCCTTCTGTGTTTAGGTTTGTAGGGGAAGGCCCCTGGAAGGTGGGTGGGAGAAGAGGCACCTCTCAGGAGAGGCTGAGGTGCACAGACACTCTTGTCCACACAAGTCCATATTTATTTATCTTCTAATATACTGTGTTAGTTTGTTTGCTTGTTTGTTTTAAGGGTCTCCTTCTGTTATGCACCCTAGAGTGCAGTGGTGCCATCATGGCTCACTGCAACCTCAACTTCCCGGGCTCAATTGATCCGCCTGCCTCAGCCTCCTGAGTAGCCGGGACTACAGGTGCATGCTGCCATGCCCGGCTATTTTTTTTTTTTGTAGAGAGTTTTTTCATGTTGCTCGGGCTGGTCTCAAACTCCTGGTCCCACGTGATCCACCTGCCTCAGCCTCCCAAAATGCTGGGATCATAGATGTGAGCCACTGTGCCTGGCCTTCTAATATAATTTGGATATTCCTGCCTTGATATGCATTAGGAACTTCCTGGAGGCTTGTACTCAAGAGAGGTAGTGTCTGCTTGCTCAGCAAGCAGAGGCTGAGTAAGTGCAGGACTCTGAATATGGTTGTGCAGCAGAGTTGTGGGTATTTGTGGGGACATGGGCCTCAGGCCCAGGATTTAGATTTAGCTAGCAGACATGCCTGGGCAGCTAAACTGGCAACGTCAGACCAAACTGCCCGGCCTGACATTGCCAGGCAGTTTAGCTTATCAGGGCTCTGCTTAGAAGCCACAATGCCAAGGCCTCATGACCATACTCTTCCACCCTCCAGAATCTTGTCCACCTTCATATCTCTCCATTCCTCACGCATCATGTCCCAGGCAGGTGCCCCAACACCTCATTCTCATCTCCACCTCCATGCTTACTCATGTCTTCCAGGTTGTACTTGAGAGAGCCTAGGCCTTAGCAGTAGAGTTGGTTTCAAGTTGCTGCCCTCCCACCTCCTGGTATGTAACTGGCTTTCTGGGTGTTAGTTTTTTTCATTTGTAATGCCTGCCTTGTAGCCCCATTGTGAAAATTAATCAATAATTTATTTTGAGGGCCCAGTATGTGGCAGGCATTGTGGTAAGCTTTAGAGCAGGGGCACAAAGACCAGTTATGATTTCTCCTTTTTAAAACTTCTATTTTTTTCCAGAGATGGTGTCTTGCTATGTTGCCCAGGCTGATCTTGAACTCTTAGCCTCAAGTAATCCTCCTACCTGGGCCTCCCAAAGGAATTACAGAATAAGCCACCATGCCTGGCCAATCCCTCCGTTTGAATAGCTTTTGGTTAGTGTTGAGAGGCAGGTTCATAAACAGATAATTTCAAATTAATGGGTAAATGCTAAGATAGAGGTAAGCTTGAGGAGTACAAAGGAAGGGAAAGAATGCTTTTTGGAGTAAATGGTGGATGAGCTGGTTTCCTTCCTTCCCTTCCTTCCTTCCTTCCTTTCTCTCTCTCTCTCTCTCTTTCTTTCTTTCTTTCTTTTCCACGGATCTGCGCAACACACAGATCAGGAGATCCCACTTGTGAGCTACACCACCAGGGCCTTGGGTCCCAAGCACAGAGCTGTGCAGATTCTCAGCAGCCACGTGACTGCAGTTTTAGGCAGTCTCCAGTCAAGTGGCTGCTGAGAGTCTGCACAGCTCTGTTAACTCTGCACAGGTCTGTTAAGTTAACAGCTCTGTTCTGTTAACTCTGCTAAGAGTTTCCAGAGGGGTGGGGGAGGCCGTTATCACCGCAGCTGCCTGCTGCCTAAGATGACTGAGCTCCCCCAGGGAGGGGTGGTGGTCATCACTGCAGCTCGGGTCTGCCATTTTCCCCCTGCTGGTGCCGGGGAGACTAGATGGTTTTGACCCAGGAGGAATTCCCCACAGCACAGCACATGGGTTGTGGCAGATCGTGGCCAGACTGCCTCTTTAGGCTGGACCCTGACCCATCCTTCCTCACTGCTCAAGACCCCCCAGCAGGGGTCGCCAGACACCTTATAAAGGAACATTCCCACCAGCATCAGATCAGTGCCCCTCCAGGACAGAGATCCCAGAGGAAGAAGCAGGCAGCCATCTTTGCTGTTTTGCAGCCTCCTCGGGTGACACCTATAGGTGCGGGAGGGACCCAGGAAAATAGGGTCTGGAGTGGACCTCCAGCAAACCACAGCAGCCCTATGGAAGAGAGGCCTGTTAAAAGGAAAACAAACAAAGCAACAACAACAACAGCATCAACAAAAAAGTCCCCACAAAAACCCCATTCAAAGATCGGCAGCCTCAAAGATTGAAGCTAGACAAACTCATGAAGATGAGAAAGAATCAGTGAAACAAACACTGAAAACTCAAAAAGCCAGAGTGCCTCTTCTCCTCCAAATGATCAGAACACCTCTCTAGCAAGGGCACAGAACTGGGCAGAGGCTGAGATGGATGAATTGACAGAAGTAGGCTTCAGAAGGTGGGTAATAACAAACTTCGCTGAGCTAAAGGAGCATGTTCTAACCCAATGCAAAGAAGCTAAGAACCATGATAAAACATTACAAGAGCTGGTAACCAGAATAATCAGTTTAGATGGGAACATAAATGACACGATGGAGCTAGAAAACACAACATGAGAACTTCCCAATGAAACCATAAGTATCAATAACTGAATAGACCAAGCAGATGAAAGAATTTCAGAGCTTGAAGACTATCTTGCTGAAATAAGACAGGCAGACAAAAATAGAGAAAAAAGAATGAAAAGGAATGAACAAAACCTCCCAGAACTATGGGATTATATAGAAAGACTGAACCTATGACTGATTGGCATACCTGAAAGAGATGAGGAGAATGGAACCAAGTTGGAGAATGGAACCAAGATGATATACTTTAGTATATCATCCAGGAAACTCCCCCAACCTAACAAAACAGGCCAACATTCAAATTTAGGAAATCCAGAGAACCCCAGTAAGATACTCCATGAGAAGACCAACCCCAAAACACAATATCCTTGGATTCTCCAAGGTCAGAATGAAGGAAAAAATGTTAAGGGCAGCCAGAGGGAAAAAGCAGGTCACCTACAAAGGGAAGTC